AATTGATTATGCCTCCCTCAAAAATTTTAAGATATTTTATGCTACCTACTAATGTGCTGTTCCTTCTAACTTCTTTAACACCCATATATGCTGTTTCACATTTCTCTGAAATAATTTTAAGAAGACAATAGTTTTAAAGTTCATGTTATTTAATAAGAACCTTTCCCCTGGCTTTTTAAATGATACTGTTTTTTTTTACCTCCAAACTTCGTGCTTCCGCTGACTCCTTCTCAAAGCTGGCATCCTTTAAAGATGACGCTAAGCCTTCATACTGAATGAAACAAGGCAACACGTAAGTAAAAACTACAAATTCTATCCGAATTGTATCTAGATAGATGCCCAAGAAGCAGACAGAACCTACGTCCACATGTGTAGAATGCACTTGGATTTGCTTAGCTAACACTAACAAGCAAAGCCAGGATGGCTCCTCTGCAGCAGTCCCCCAGCCTGAGCACTATGAGGCAGAACTTCACCCTTGAGCTAGGAGAGCCGTCTCAAGTCCACTTCTCAGAGAACACTGGACTATAACTCCCATGAGCACTCCTCACTTGAGGTGAAGTCTGATGACAACTATATACTAAAGATCATCCAAAGACTTAAGGTATCAACTATCCCCTTAACAGGTAAACAGTATCTTCAAGCCTTTTCAATAGAGAAAGTGATAGTAACTAGCAATCAGCAATTTTCTCTTTCAATTTGTATCATATGACAAAGCAAGTAAGGCTAGGAAATCTTCAAAGTATAGGAAATAATCATCTGCAAATGAAAACTAAGGATAATTCAACATAAAATGCCATAAGATTTGGGAAAGCACACTTCAATGCTTCAGGGGAAGAAGGTGATTAAACTGAAGACAACACTGTTTTGAATCAACCTTCCTGCTAACAAGAGCTGGAACACAGCAAAAACCAGGACCTGTCCAAGGGCCTCAATGAACTATTAAACAGTGGGAAATGATGAGAGAAAAGGGAATCTTCAGAAAGGCAAGTCCAGCATTTGACATCACTTTTTCCTTAAAATAGAGGTTCATACAAGCAGGGAACTAGGCAAGGGTTTCAAGAAAACTAGAGGCTGAGAAGACAAAATACAATAGTTCAGGACCTCCAACTCTGATGATCCATGTAGTACAGGCTTTAGGGCAACACCTTGTGTGCTTGGTTGAAGGATAACCTCTCCTGCAATGTGTATGTCCTATTCATCATAATTTCCAGGTAGAATTAAGGAGATGAGAGAACCCAGAATTATTTTGATGGCCCAATAATCCTAAGAACTTTAATAAAATGGGTGCAGTAGGACTGGTAGAGCGTGTGTAGTATGTACAAGGTGTTGGGTTCAACCCCCAGAACCCAAACTGTTTTTTAAATTAAAAGGGGAAGGGGGAATGGTTAAAGGACCAAATTAGAAGAGAAAGTGATGTGAAGACAGAAGCATAGACTGGGCGATGCAGCTATGAACTAAGGAATACCAGCAGCCTCTAGAACCTGGAAGGGTAAGAGATAAGACTCTCTCCCTGGCACTGCATACGCTTAATTTTAGCCCAAAACACTGACATAGACTTCGGACCTCCAGAATTATAAGAATAACTGTGGTGCAGCAGAGATAGACTCTCTCCCTGGCACTGCATACGCTTAATTTTAGCCCAAAACACTGACATAGATTTCGGACCTCCAGAATTATAAGAATAACTGTGGTGCTACAGCCCCAGGAAGAAACTAATACCTACCAAAATCACATTCCTTATAAATGTCTAAATGAGAAACAGCCTAATCTTCTGAAGTGAGGTGTCACTTCCAAACATCTCAGTCTGTTAAATAATATGACCTCTCAAAAAAGGAAAATCTAACACCAAATGGCTTCATAGCTGAGTTCCACCAAACCTTCAGAGATAAATTAAGACCAATACTTTTTAAACTTCCCAAAAATAGAGTAAGAGCAAATATTTACTAATACATTTTAGAAAGTCACTATCATTTTAATACCTAAGCAAGACAAAGAAACCATAAGAAAATAGGCCAGTATGTCTGATAATCACTACTGAAAAGTTCTCAATAAAATATTAGCAAATGGCACTAAATACTCATCAAAAAGATTATACCATAATCATGTGGGATTATCCCTGCATTAAGGCTAAATAGACACAGTCAATATGAGCTATTTACTTCCAAACTACATGAGCAAATAAATTACGGGGGGGGCTGGGGGACGACAAAAGATATCTGGATCAAAGGGGAAAAAGTAAAATTATCTCTATTTGCAGATAGCAAATACGTAAACCCCAAAAACTGCCAAAGAAAAAAATATTGCAAATTTAACAAATGAATTCAGTGAACTGGCAGATTATAAAATCAACAAAGAAAACTCCACAACAGTTCTCAGTACAAATAATGACACAGCTGAGAAAGTGCCAGGACAGGACTCAAGCAGACATCCAAATCATAAGCAGTACTGCGACCAGGGACCACAGCACTTAGAAACAGGTAGGGAATCAGAACGTGAAAGACTTCCAATGCCCACTCGTCGCTCTCCCTGCCACTGTATAGAGAAGCAAGGTTTGGGCTTGGAAACGCAGGACTGAAGGAGGCCGAATGCACCTACAAGAGAGCCCACCTCGGCAACCCCCAGACACAGAAGCTGCAGAGAAGGCAAAGGGCACTAGGGCTGGGAAAATGACAACTTGCATCCTCCTCCTATGTCTGCTACTGCTCATGGAGCCAGGATCCAGGGGGGCTTGGGAAGAAGCTGTAGAACTTGAAACTTGGTGTAGCATCTAAACAGGCCAACAGGCCTCAAGCAGCAGCACAGACTACAGAAATGGTAGAAGTGTGGTAAGGCTTCTGAAGTTAAGAGATTCCCAGCAAGCCCTACCTCAGTCACCAGGGAAGAGTTACACCAACCACAGGGAGTTTGGAAAGTACCCAGTGCAGTATCTGATGGACAGAAGCACGCCTCCCCCACCCCCACCCCCACCCCCAGGAAGAAGCACTGAGAATATTCTGCCTGTATTTCATTCTGTTCCTCATTTGTGTTTATATGATTTTAATTTTTATTTCCCATTTTTACATACATATATCTATTTTATTTTTTATTTCTATTTTCTCGCGTATGAGTGTATTGCTTGCATGTGTATAAGTGTACCTTTGTCATGCAATGCCTGCAGAGGTCAGAGGAAGGTGTCACATTCCCTGGAACTGGAGTTACAGATGGTTGTTCCCACCATGTGGGTACTGGGAATTGAACTCAGGTCCTCTGCAAGAGCAGTCAGTGCTCTTAACCACTAAGCCATGTCTCCAGCCCACATACATATATCTTTTATTTTTTTATTTTATTTGTTTTTTAGGAATATATACTTTTATACTTTAGCTGTTCAGTAACTTATATCTCAGTGGAAAAAGTTCTTTTGTCCTTTTTTCCTCTAACCCTAGTATTTTCTCTAGTGTTTTCTATGTCTCTAACACATACACTTTCCTGCTCACTCTTACTTTATCCTGCCTTGTAAACCTGGTCAAAAGTCCATGCCTGGATGTCACAGACCCTAGTGGGGAACCTACTATTGTTGTTTTGCTTAATGGACATGGTGTCAAAGGACCTTCTAAATATTTATGTTTACTCATAGATCAGTGTTGCTCTAAGTCTTGGTGAGAGAAGCTTCTGTTTGCAGTAGGCAATGGTTAATGCAGAAACTCCTAACTGGTGAAAGTGCTGAAAATAAGCAATTCTTGAGCACTCAGCCCTAAGTGGGATATCTATACCACTCCCTCCAAGGCTCAGGGAACATGACAGAAGAGTGTAAGAGCTGGAGGATACGAAGGAATGCGATGTCTTCTACATATAGCATGACCACTGCACCCATGAACTCACAGCAGCAGTGCCTACCTGCACAGGGCAGGGCCCATCAACATTCCACCATGGATGGAAAGGGACTAGTGAGGCCTCACCCCCCCCCAGGCACTATAGGAGGAGGACTTATTGGGAAGAAGGGGCTTAATGGGTATGGGAAAGGGACAAGAGAGGTTAATGATCAAAGTATATTTCATATATATGTATGAAATTGTGAAAGAATAAAATTTTTTAAGTAGCCAGAAAGTTTCTCATAAACCATTACTGGCCTAATAGTGTGCCAATTCGAATACTAGATATTTAGAAAGGGGAAATATTTTTAAATGTCTGCAAAAAAAATTAGCTTGTAGGGAAAAAAATGTTCAAAATGTTCCTCTTAATAGCCAAGATCCAGAGATAATTACCAAGAAACAAGATGACAAGCAGAGTATGGCGCAGAGACAATATAAACGTACTTAGGAGGGAAAAAGTACAAACACATGCAACAAAACAGGGAATCTCAAAAATACAACACCAATGGAAAAGCCACAGAAATACCATGATTCCTTTATGCAAACTCTACAACTGACAAAACCAATGTCTGATGCCATGACAATTCCACAGAGAAGACTATTCATCAGCAGGTAGTGCTAAGAGCAGTGGGCATCCAGATGCTGAAGAGGAAGCAGGACTTCTACTGCACCCTAGACATGAAATTCAGCTCCAAACAGATCAGACTTAAGCACAAGAGTTAAATCTATAAAACTGCTAAACAGAAACATGTGCAAGTCTTTGTCATCCTGAATTATCACCATTTCTCATTCCTGTAACCAAAAATACACACAAAAAAAAATTCAATAAACTGATTATCATCAAAATTTATATTTCAAAAGATACCACCAAGCTAGGTGCATGCCTGTATTCCCACCACTTGGGAGGCAGAGGCAGGCAGGTCTCTGAACTTGAGGCCAGCATGCTCTACATACAAAGTTCCAGGCCAGCCAGGGCTACAAGTAAGAAGACAGCTATCCACGGCAGCTCATACCTGCAATCTTAGCCTCAGGAGCCTAGGGCAGGAGGAGGATTGCCATAAGTTCAATGCCAGCCTGGGCTATAATATGAGACTCCATCTCAAAAAAAAAAACCAGAAAAAAAAAGAAAATGAGGAGACAATCATGGAATGAGAGAAAATATCTGTTAAATATTTGTTAATAAGTGCTTTATATCTAAAATAAAGTTAGAATTTGACAATAAAAACACAAGCTTGTGGTACATACCTATAACCCTTGCATTCAGCAGGCTGAAGCAGGAGGGTAGAGAGTTCAAGGACAGCCTGGGCTACTAGCAAGATTCTGTCTTGTTTTTTTTTTTTGAACACTGGTTGTTCTTGGAGAAGAGCCAGGTTCAAATCCCAACACCTACATGGCAGCTAACAACTGCTATGCCAGCATTGCATGACATGGGTGCACTTACCTACATGCAGGCAATACATGTATACACATAAAAATTAAACATAATAGGGGCTAGAGAGATGGCTCAGCGGTTAAGAACACTTTGTTCTTGCAGAAGACCCAGGTTTGAATCCCAGCACCCACATGGCAGCTAACAACTGTCCATGACTCAGTCCTGGGGAAATCCAACAGCCTCTTGTGACCTCCGTGGGCAATGCACAACATGGGTACACTTATGCATACATGCATACACATAAAATTAAAATAAATAATAAACATAATAAAAAATATTAAAAATAAAGAAAAATAAAGAAAATTAAAGAAAAAAAAAAAAAACCACAGGTGAAGAAACTGAATACACTTTGCTCCAGAGAAGATATTCAAATGGAGAACAAACACTGAAAGATGCTCAATATCTCTCCAGAGAAATGAAAGTCAAAAAACCACAATGAAGCTGGATATGGTGCTGCAGCACTAGGGAGACAGAGACAGGGAGGCCAGCCTGGTCTGCATAGCGAGTTCCAGGCAGGCTGCGTTACACACAGTGAGACCCTGTCTAAAAAAAACCACAATGAGACACTACTCAATAGCCAGTAGGAAAACAAGAAGAACTACACATGACAAGGAAAAACTGAACACTCACAAACAGCTAGTAAGAAGGTAAAATGAAACAGCCACCATGGAGAGTTTGGCAAGTCTATCAAAACAAATACAGATGCAGCACTCCTAGGTAGATACCCAAAACACATGTCCATTCAAAAAACGTGGACATAAATACCAAAAGCATTATGACTTGCAACACAAATAATAGTGGAAATAACACAGACGTATATCAGCTGACAAACATGTAAATCATGGCATAAAATATTATTTAACAAAAAAATTAATTCTGAAGCACACTACAAAACTGATGAAGCAACATTTCTTTGGGGTGTATACCCGTGAGTGAAACCGCTACATCTGCACTTAACATCCAGCAGAGACAAAAGGCAATCAGAACTTGTCAAAAACCAAAAAAAGCTACAGGTTGTGTTATTTCATTTATGTAAAATGTCCAGATTAAACAAATTATAGAAATAGAAACCAGGGAGCTGGACGTGGTGGTGCATGCCTTTAGTCCTAACAAAGGCAGGCAGATCTCTGTGAGTTTAAGGCCAGCCTGGTCTATATAGGTAGCCAAGTTCCAGACCAGCTGAGGCTACAGACCATAAAAAAAAAAATAAAAATAAAAAAATAAAAGAAATAGAAACCAGGATGGAGTGGGAGAAACTGGAGGAAGGACAATAACAAAGAGACTGAGGGTTTCTCTGTGGGGTAATAAAAATGTTCAAAAGTTGTTTACAATAAGGGCTATACAATTCTGTGAATATACCAAAAGTCATTCATTTACATCTTTTGAGGGGAGGAGGGATCCACTGTAGGCCAAGCTAACTTCAAACCTGCAATCCTGCTTCCGCCTGCAAAATACTAGGATTATAGTAATGTACCACCACATCTGGCTCATTTACACTCTTCATATGGGTGAATTAATTGTATAGTGTATAACCGTATCCCAATAAAGCTGTTAAGAAAGCTGGCATAGAGCTGCAGTAATCCTAGCTCTTGAAAGGTAGACACAGGAGGATCCAGAGACGGGAGGATCCAGAAGTTCAAGGTCAACCTCAGCTACGTAGAGTGTTTGAGGTCAGCCTGGGCTACATGAGACCCTGTCTCAACAAAAACAAAAACAAAACACAAAGAACATAAAGAAAGGGGCTAAAGAGACAGCTCAGCAGTTAAGAGTGCATACTGCTCTTGCACAGGACTCAAGTTCAGTTCCAAGCACCCACATTGGGTGACTCTCAACTGCCTGTAACTCCAGCTCCAAGGGATCCATCACCTTCTATACTCTGTGGACACCTGCACTCACATGCACATGCCCACACACAGACACACATATACACATAATTAAAAATAAAGTCAATGTTAAAAAATAAAGAAGATATCCAGGAATAAATCTCGAAAAGATTTACTGCTAGACTGTAATACACAAAAAAAAATGTACTTTAAAAAAATGAAATAACAAGGACCGGGTGTGGTGGTACACATCTTTAGTCCCAGCACTTGGGAGGCAGAGGCAGGTGGATCTTTGTGAGTTCAAGGCCAGCCTGGTCTACATAGTGAGTTCCGGTCAGCTGGGGCTACAGGGAGATCCTGTCTCAAAAAGATTTTTTAAAAAATGACATAACTTTTAAAAGACATTATGTAGAAAAATATGCTATAGTCTAAAAATAAGAACTCAACATTATAAAAATGTCAATTCTCAAACTAGGCTTGGGGGCACACACTTATAAATCCCAGGACTCAAGAGAGACCAAGGCAGGAGGATCCCAAGTTTAAGGATAGGCAGAGCCGGGTACAGTGAGATGGGAAGGTCCTGATATAAGCACTGGAGACCTGGGATCTTTGAAGGCCTACACAGATCATGTGAAGGTCAAACTACATATGCTGTTGGGAGAAGTCTCTGTTGGCGTGGGAAACTAGAACAACAAAGTCAGAAGAGGAAAATCAAGTGTTGGGTTTGGGGACATCATACATCAACCATAGAATAAAGCAAAAACTAGTTATTCAAAGAAAAAACAACCAGCTAAGTGTAGTAGCACAGGCCTATAATCCCAACAACTCAGGAGGTGAAAGCAAAAGAATCTGAAGTTCAGAGCCAGACTGAACTATCAAACAGTGAGAGTCTTGTCAAAAACCAAAAAAAAACTACAGAATATGAAAGAGAAGATAACCTTTTCACAAATGGCATTGGTTGGGGTTGAGGTTAAGAATGCTTGTTCCACCATCATGAGGACCGGAATTCAGATCCTAGCACCCACATTAACAAGCCAAGCATCCACCCTAATGCCTATAACCTCAGCTCCAAATGGGAGCTGAGACAGGATTTCTAGGACTTGCTGGCTTCCAGCCTAGCTAAGAGCAAGCTCCAGGTTCAAGGAGAGTTTGTCTCAAAGAATAGGCAGAGAACAGGACGCAGCAGCATGCCTTTAATCCCAGCACTTCAGAGACAGTGGCAGATGGGTCTCTGTGAGATTGAGGTTAGCCTAGTCAACATAGTGAGTTCAGGCCAGCTGGAACTGCAGAGACCCTGCTCAAGAAAAAGAAAGAAAATCAAAAGAAGGGCAGAAAGTGATAGAGGAGGGCATTCAACACCCTTGAGGCCCTTGTCTGGCCTTTGCACATAAGCATGTGTACACTCACACACACAAATTAAATAAATAAGTAAGAAAGGCATTGGGCTGGGTATGACATTATTCTTCTTGTATCTATGCCAACACCAAAAAAAGAATGGCATTGGTTTACTTGATATCCATATTAAAATGAAAAGAAAGCCTAAATCTTGACATACCCTTCTAATAACAGCAAGATGGTTTCAATTCCAAATGGATCAAAGATGTTATGGACTAAACTGTGCTGCCCACCCCCTTCCTATATTAGAAGTCTCTATGAAGGCTGAAGATATGGGTCAGCAGTTAAGAACACTTACTGCTCTTCCAGAGGACAGGGTTCAGTTCCCAGCACCCACACAGGGCAGCTCATAACCACCTATAACTCCAGTTCCAGGACATCTGACACCCTCTTCTAGCCTCCACTCACACAGGCACACACAAATAAAAGTAAATATTTTGAAAAAATAACTCTAAGTCTCTGTATCTCAGAATATGGCTGTTCTTTAGAGACAAAGCTTTTTAAACAGTAAGTTGGATGGACCCCAATCTAACATGATTTATATCTTCATAAGAGACAGTGAGACACCAGAGGAAAGATGCTGCAAAAGGCAAGCTATCTACCCAAGTCAGGAGAACAGGCTACAAAAACAGCAAAGCCACTTACACCTTGGTCTTAGACTTCCTGTTTCAAGAACCGAGAAAATTCATTTCTACTGTTAAAGTATTTATTTATTTATTTATTTATTTATTTATTTATTTATTTATTTATTTATTTGTCTTTTTGAGACAGGGTCTCCCTGTAGCCTCAGCTGGTCTGGAACTCGCTATGTAGACCAGGCTGGCCTTGAACTCACAGAGATCCGCCTGCCTCTGCCTCCCGAATGCTGGGATAAAGGTGTGTGCCATCACACCCAGCTTAAAGTAGTATTTTGCCTCAGCAGCCCTAGCAAATTAATACAAAGACTAAATTAGAAAAGTAAATGATAAAGTTTCTAAAAGACAATGAATAAGAGGCTCTTTACTCACATGGATAAGAAAAAAATGTCTTTAAGTAGGAAATGAAAAGCAGTCATCAAAAGAAATGAGGAGAAATTACACTATGCTAAATTCTGAACCTCTGCCTAGAAGATCTATGTGGGGGAAAACAAAATAAGCCGCAATGGAGATACTTGCAATACATACATTTGACAAAAGGCTTGAATCTGAGATGAAAAGAAAGCTGCTATGTAATGTATAAGAAATATGATAGATTATGCATACCTTTAAAAATGTGAAAGAGACTTAAAAAGGCAACTTCACAAAAAGAATACCCAGTGATCAATGAACTGTCAAAGGTGTTTCACTCCCTTAGTCAGGGAAACACAAACTGAAGTGACAGAGACAAGATGAGCACTAAACACCTACCACGAGCTACAATTAACAAGAGTGGTGAGTGATGAAATGGGAGCCAGCACTCACAGGTTTCGCAAAGACACCGCCAACAACCCTACACAGAAGCGGTCCACTGCGAAGGATAAAGTTCTCAGACTCAACCATTAATGTTATTTTTAAGTGTGTCTTACCTCTTTTTGAACAAGGTTAACTTTTTCAAGTATTTTACATTTTTCTTCAATTAGTCCAGAAAGTTCAAGAGCAAGTTTTTTTTCCCTTCCTTTGAAAGAAAAAGGAAGAAAGAAAGATGATTATCATGGTATTATTTTGTTTTAAAATTATATACAGTGATGAGATCTAAAATAGTAAAAAAAAAAAACAAAAAAAAAAAAAACCCAACTTACCCACATAAAATCGGCTTCGGATCTGAAATAAATTTTTAATAAAAATTACATTAACAAAAATATACATTCAAATAAATCTATTCAACCTCTACTTCCAACTTTAACAAGTTTCTTACTGACTTACTGTGAATGAATTAGCAAAATATATTCTATTTCCAATGAGATAAATACTATACATAAGGTCTCCCACCTGAGTTCTTGGACAGCTGGGCTAGAGGGAGACCCTGTCTCAAAAAGACCAAAAGTAAATAAATAGATAATAAATAAATAAATAAATAAATAATAAACCCTTTTTCTTCTTTAAGTTTCAGTTCTCAAATAACAAAGGAGGGATAAATCCACTTTTAAGAGGATTAGGGCTAAGATAAAATGACAAAAAAAGACTTAAATCGCCAGGCATGGTTAAGCACACTTAGTCCCAGCACTTGGTAGGCAGAGGCAGGAAGATCTCTGTGAGATCAAGGCCAACCTGGTCTACAGAGCGAGTTCCAGACCAGCTGAGGCTACAGGGAGACCCTGTCTCAAAAAAACCAAAAAAAAAAAAAAAAGGCCTTAAATCACCTAGAAAATATGTGTAGAGATAAAAGGAAAAAATTAAAAGACAAGCTATAGCGGAATGTGTATAAAGAGGACATAAACGAAGGGCAACTCAGATAGAAGACCTGTTTCACAGGGCAACAGAAAATCTTGAAAAATTTAAGTTATGAGACATAAAAGTTAGAAGCCAAAGGGCCGACATCTAAAAAGAAATCTCAGAAAGAAAAGGATATGATATGACCCCCTTTTAAAAAAAATTTTTTTTAAAAATAATAAATAAAATAAAACGTAGAATAAAAAAAATTTTAAAGTTTGGAGATAACCAATAAAGGATCTAGAATAGGATCACATCTAACACAGAGAGCCAAAGGGAGGAAAATAAGGACTATTATCTAAATATAAGTGACAGTCAATGTTTTCACTCTAAGTTAGGTGGCAGTTATAGTTTTATATATTGTTAAAAACAAACACAGACCAAAAAGAAAAAAAAAAAAGAAGGAGAGAAAGAAATAAGGGTAGGGTCTTAGCGTTAATATACAATGCCTCTACAAAGAAATTCTTTTCAAAAATTTTACACACAAAAAATTTTCTGTGAATCCACATTCAGTTTTTAATGACCACAAATTACGGTAAGTCACAAAACTATAACCAATATCCTTAAAAAAACAAGTTTCTCCAATTACAGACCTGGAGACAAAAGACAGAATGGATAGTCTCTTAGAGTGTGGTAGGTGACTTACTGATCGAAAGCCTCGCCACAGAAACAAGAGAATGGCAGCAAGTGCAACGGTAAGCACACATATCACCAGTTCCCATGAGAGGCCACTGGGATTCAGGCCTGCTCTCATATCTTCAGGCAATGCAGCCACCACCTTCAAGACAAACAAAGTTAAGCCTGTAAACATGATTTTCCACAGTGTTGGTTATAAACACAGGTTCAAGTGGTTACAGTCAACTCTGTTAATACCCTTTGGAGAAATGGGCTACCAGACTAAGACCAAGCAGAACGTATCCAAGCGTGCTTTTTTGGCCACTGAAAGCTGCTCTCACTAAGTGATGAAGAACAGCAGCGTGCAGAAATGCAATGGTTTTCAAACTGGAGTTGAACAGAGATTCCTCAGAGCTTACAAGGATGCCAGAATAAGAAGAAAGCCCAAGACCCCAGTGACCCAGGTTCAAGTGCACTTTCCCTGATTTCAACTTTACATTTTATCTAGCGACTATACTGGCTAAGACACAAGATTTCCTCATGGGGAAGAAAATGGATCAGCAGTTGTTTCACTCTGTCTTGTTTTGTTTGGGAGGTACTTTGAAAACAACTAATAAAGTCTTGATCTTAGAATTTGAATCCTTTCCTCCTATCTGTTGAGTTAGAAAAACATGCTGCTTGGCAGACAGGTATTCAATAAAAGGCAACTATTACCATCCTTCCTCCTCCAAAGACATGATTGCATAAGCAGTTTTCCACATCTCTTCTCTGCAGTGTGCCTTCACACAACACAGCTTAAAGCTTCTACAGGGCTGTGCATTTCACCTTCTCTTGTGCAGTTCATAATTCATCCTCACTAAGGTTATTCTGTTCTTTGTTACCAGGCCCCAGACAGTAACTGATCACAAATAAAAGATAAAGGCAGGAGAAAGAGAAAATTATTCTTTTTAAAACAACCTGATACATCAGGTTTGATTCTTTCTAGGCTTCAGCCTAGAACCTCAGAATCTCCATTGGAAATCCTCCCCTAGGCTTTTCTGACAAAACAGATAAACAACACATAAACCCTTTAATAGTTAGGCTCCTCTTCAAAATCAGCTGTTATTAATTTTTAATTAACTAAATTTCCTACAATATATTTTGATCATATTTAGATCCCCTCCTGCATCTGCACCTCCCTAACTGACCATCAAATTTCTGTACTCAATATATAAGCATCTATATATATATATATATATATAGAGAGAGAGAGAGAGAGAGAGAGAGAGAGAGAGAGAGAGAGAGAGTCAGGTTTGTGTCCCTCCCCCCCAAATGCCTGTCAGTATGGGTTCATCCACTGAGGTCTGGTCAACTACTAAGAGTTTCGCCCTTAAACAAGACTGACTCTCCCCTTCCCAGTAGTCATCAGTTGCCAGTAGTTCTCAGATAGGGTTGCCCCCATCTAAGCAGGGATTTCAAAATCTGTTCTTTAACTCCTCTCTCTACATGTACTTCTTCCAATTGCTATCTATAGCTCACTAACTTTTATCAAATAGATGTAATTATATACTCTTTGTTTTTTGTGGTTTTGTCTTTTTGAGACAGGGTCTCCTTGTAGCCCCAGCTGTTCTAGAACTCACTATGTAGACCAGGTTGGACTCAAACTCACAGAGACCCACCTGCCTCTGTCTCCCGAGTGCTGGGACTACAGGCTGCGCCACCACTCCCGGCATATTCTTTGTTTTAATCCCTATATCTTGTTTTCTCTTTCTTTTTTTTTTTTTTTTTTTTCTTCCAGCTGTGACCCCCGACAGGATCCAAAGAGGAGGTGAACAGTCTCTCCTCTGGGTTTTATGGAGAGTTCCTTTTCCCTCTGTGTTAGCCTCTTAAAGTACTGCATCAACCTTAAAAGGGCACAGAAAAGGGAGAAAATCCCTTTATCCTAATTCTGTCTCTTCCTTCTTTTTTTCTGAAAAAATGGTCACAGGATATAGGCCTGGCTGGCCTGGAACTCACTATGTAGACTAGGCTGATCTTGAACTCACCGAGATCTGCCTGCCTCTGCCTCTGCCTCCTGGAATGCAGGAAAAGGCAAGAGCCATAACACCTCTATATGCACAATCCCTTCATATGTGCTGCAGCGTACTTACACAGAAGTAAATGCAATAAAAATTTTAAAAGAAGAACTAGGCTTAGTCTAATATATGAAATAAAAGCAGAACAGGGTTATAAATTGGCAATTTTTGTCTTTTTAAAAGACAACTGCATAAAGCAGTAAGTATAAATATATGCTGACAGCCATACAACAGATGAAGATGCAAGTTGCTAAAATCAAAATAATAGCATAAAGGGAGGACAGAGCTATACAGATAGAAGCAACAAGACTGCTGGAAATCAGCAATGGGGAAATACCAAAGGCACCAATTACAATAAATATCAATGAATTAACTACTCCAGTTAAATGGCGACGATTGGCAAAGTGGGAATAAAAATTATTCAACCAATGCCTTCTATAACAGACACATGGGTTGAAACTGAAATGATGAAAAAAGAAATTCTGACCAGGCATGGTGGCTTAAGCCTATAATCCCAGCTCTCAGACGGGGTAGAGGCAGGAGGATAGCTGTAAGTTTGAGGCCAGCATGGTTCCAGGCTAGTCAGGCTACAGAGCAAGAGCCTGTTACAAAGACCTGGGGGGGACGGGGGACACAAGACACAGAGAGACAGGGAGAAAAACACAGACACAGTTACAGGACAAATGGAATGGTTATGCTAATATCAGATAAAATACTTTAAGACAAAAATTACTACTAGAAACAAAAATATTATGTAATGGCCAAAAGCTAAGTCAGTTTTCAAGATGTAACTTTTACACAACAAGAGAATCACAAAATATAAGGAAAGTCACAAAATGAAATAAAATCTGATAGAAGTGAAAAAAATGTACACTTTAACAGTAATAGTTGGGTGTTTCAAGGTCTCACTTCCAGTGGATCAGCATGAAAACAGCAACCTTGAACAATATTACAAAATTAACAAAATACCCAACAATAATAGAAAACACATTCATATATGCACATGGAAGGTTCTTCAGAATACGTTCAAACATCAAGCTAAAATGAATCTCAATTTTTTAAAAAATTCAAATCAAGAAAGTATGTTCTCAGATTATAATGAATTAAAAACAGCAATCAGAAACTGGAGGAAATCTGCAAAATTTACAAATATGAAAATCAGTAATGTATTACTTAAGTAACCATAGGTCAAAGAAAAAATAAAAGGGGCTAGAGAAATGGGTCCATGGTTGAGAGAACTTACTGCTCTTGCAGAAGACCTGAGTTTGGTTCCCAGCACCCACATTACGTAGCTCACAACTGCTTGTAACCCCAGCTCTAGGGGATCCAATGTCCTCTTCTGGCCTCCAAGGGTACCTGCACTTGTGTTCATATACCCATATGCAAACATCCATATACATAAAATTAAAAGAATAGAAATAAATCTTTTTTAAAAAATAAGAATGATTGGGAGGCAGAAGCAGGAGGATCTCTCTGAGTTCAAGGCTGGCCTGGTCTACAAAACGAGTTCCAGGACAGCTGGGTAGATCCTATCTCAAAAAGATCAAAATAAATTAATTAATTAAATTAAATATAAAAAATATTACCCAAAAGGAAAGTATAACCCCAAAGATTAAAGGGGTCAATATAATTTTTTAAGAGTCCAGATGTGCTGGGTGAGGTGGTGCACACCTTTAAACCCAGCACTCGGGAGGCAGAGGCAGGTGGATCTCTGTGAGTTCAAGGCCAGCCTGGTCTACATAGTGAGTTCCAGGACAGCTGGGGCTACAGGGAGACCCTGTCTCAAAGAAAAGACAAAAAATTAATTAACTAATTAATTAATTAATTATGTCATGAAGGAAATTACTATGGGGGGGGTGCATGATCCAGCACATGTGGAGGTCAGAGGACAGATAACTTCAGGTGTCCAAGTCTTACTACTTCTTTTTTTGAAACACGGTGTCTTGCTCACTGCTATACATGCTAGACTAGTTGGCCCATGAGCATCTGGAGAGTCTCTAATCTCTACTGCCCATTACCAGTAGGAGCCCACTGGAACTCTAGATGCCTGCACTACTATGTGCAGCTTTTATGTGGGATCTGGGGATACATATTCAAGTCATCAAGCTTCCATGTTCCCAACCCCACAAGGGAAATTAGAAACTACATTCAGATAATGAAAAGAAAAAGCAATATACCAAAATTTATAGAATGCAGTTAATTAAAGCAGTAAGTAAAGGTAAGAGTTCAAGCCAGGTGTGATGGCACATGCCTTTAACCCCAGGACTGGGGAGGCAAAGGCAGGTGGATCTTTGTGTTTGAGGCCAGCCTAGTCTACATTGCAAGTTCCAGGCCAGCTGGGGCTACAGGGAGACTTTGTCTCAAAAAGACAAAATAAAAGTTCTTGGGGCTAGAGAGATGGCTCAGCAGTTAAGAGTACTGGCTATTCTTACAAAGAACCAGGGTTTGGTTCTCAGCACCACGTGATGGCTCACAACCATCCATAACTCCAGTCCCAAGGAATCTGACACTTTCTTCTGGCCTCTGTAGGCACTGTGTGCTTATATATATTAAGGCAAAACACACAAAATAAAAATTTTTGAGACAGGGTCTCCCTGTAGCCCTAGCTGGCCTGGAACTCAGTATGTAGACCTGGCTGGCCTCAATCTCACAGTGATGCCTCTGCTGGGACTAAAGGTATGCATCGCCACACCCAGCTACAAAATACTTAGAAAAAAAAAAAAAATAGGGCTGGAGAGATGGCTCAGCACTTAAGAGCACTGGCTGCTCTAATAGAGGACCCAGGTTTGGTTCCCAGCACCCACATGGTGGCTAATAACCATCTGTAACTCCAGTTCCAGAATTGTTTCTAAAAAACTAAAAAAAAAATTTTTGACTGATTCATTTTTATTTTATATGTACAAATGTTTTGCCTTTATGTATGTAAGTGTACCTGTGTCGTACAATGCCTGTGGAGGCCAGAAGAGGGCACTGGATCCCCTGGAACTAGAGTTTCAGATGGTGCTGGGAACCAAACCTGGGTCTTCTGCAAGAGCAGCCAGTGCTCTTAAATGCTGAGCCATCTTTCCAACCCTAAATTTTGATACTTGCCACAAAGTCTAATGACCTG